AAAGTTAAGATTGTGTCAGCCAGAAATCGAATTTTATTCCTATAATTGAAAATTATTCTTTGCAAGTAGAGTTATTTATTTGAGTTAATTTGTATTACTCAGTGACTGATAGTATTGTACTGAAATACTCAGTCTCTGTTGATGTAGCAGCTTCAAATACAGACGATTTAACGATGTCTGCAGATTAACATGATTCAATTCTGTATGATGGTAACTAGCAGTGGAATCCGATACTCCCAAATAATAACAAGTGGTGACCCTTGTGGCCTGGTAGTTAACGCTTTGATGTTTGAAACGAAGGGTTCTGGTTTCACTTCTCAGTCAGAACATCATCACTCACTGTATAATGCAGGTACATCCGGATGGTGGGTTAAAGACTGGATGAAATGCACATCCTGGATTTTACTATTAGTCTGCATCAAACGAATAATATCGTGTTTAAGTAGGAGTTCATTTACTCATCATTAAACATATGTATGAATGTGTCAACTGAATGCTAACAACAAGATGAGTTATGAGTACTTTGTACAAATAAGGTGCGTCTACTGATATCATTTAGAGAAACATTGGAAACCAGGAAATACTGGTCAGCTTTTTCTTCCTAGTTTGGGGCCCATCTGTAGTACGCACCTTCTGGGCTTCGAACCTAGAACCTTCCAGTTACAAGGCAAGCTCAAAGACCATGCAGCTGCTGGGCCCTGACTCAATGGCCCATGAATTGTAACTCCTACCGATTCGTGAATTTAGCATGACCACCGGCCAGTGTCACCGGTGATTATTTCTCCGGTAACTCCCTGGTTTTCAGTGGTTCTCTAACTGATATCAATCCGTGGTCAAACTTGAAAACATATTTTGTCTGCCTGTATATTTAACATGATAGAATATGATCAATTTCTATGAAGCACTGACAACAGAATCTTGATATATATGTCATTTTGATTTGTGTATTTATTACATCTTGTTAACGAGAATCGGTTGTACAAATTTTACATCTGCTCTCTGAATATTTTACAAATTACAGCATTCCAAACTTATTATTGGGTTTCACCGATATGAAAACACTTCGTTAAATTTCATAATATTTATTATATCAGGTTTCATTTTTTAAAGTTATGGTTCAATTGTATTGATTAATAATCACAGTTTTGAGAACCATAATAATCATTCAAGCGTGAGTACCCTAAGCTTAACCAATACTTTGAATACATTTTCTCTCTCTCAATTTAAAACTATTGATTTACAGCACTGATTTGTAGCCAGGACTATTACAGACAACCTTATTTCAGAGTCTAATGTTTGTATTGACGCAGGATTGATGATCCCATCAATATTTTGGTCGTAATACGATGTAAACTAATCTCTCCTAGATTACTTATTATAATTGTTTGCTATTGTTTTATAGCGCTATTCACTTATATGGGCATTTATTTGTGAAAATGAGGATAGTTGGTTAAGACACTTAAGTTGTCTTCTGCGTTCTTTGGTCAGTAGATAACGGTGGCTCGGTTGCGTACGACTGTACTTGTAACAGCTGTCAAGATTGGAAGAACACAGAAGACTACTTGAACAACTTCAAGAAAATAAAGACATAATCCTCGTCCGTCCTGATAAGGGCAGTGGGATTTTAGTGATGAATAGATCCGATTATAATGAGAAATTGACAAATATACTATCAGCTTGGTGTCCGGATTCTATCAGATGTTCTAAGATGGAGCTGCGGGGACATCGTTTTTCTCCTTTGTAAAACCATGCTGGTAAGTTTTCGGTGATACGCTTGGAAAGCGAACGCTGGGTACGGCCGATATACCTGGCTCCACACGAGCAGGTGAATTGATAACTACACATTGATGAGGCCAACAGTGGTAGCTTATCCTTCACGTTCACATGAATCATAGGTTTTGTGGAGAAAGTTAGTCGTAGTTCAGTTGCGAAGAAAGTCTTCTTGAGTGAGCGCAACAGCTGCACCCCAAACAAACTTCAAAGTAGTCTACAGAGTAAGAAATATACTATCAGACAAAACCAAATTCTTTGAATCATCCAACCAGGAAAACACAACCGAAAGAACAGAAAACCTACTTACAAAATTGCTGAAGAGAATGAAAGAAGATTCAGTCATAACACCGGAAGTTTATAAGCAAATAAAACCATGCAGTTCAACTATTTCAAGACTGTATGGACTGCGTAAAGTGCATAAAGAGAATGTCCCACTTCGACCGGTCATAGACATGGTTAACTCACCATATCACCAAATCGCGAAGTGGCTAGCTGATATCCTCGAACCAGTTAAAAGACATATGACGAAATATAGCCTCAAAGATACATTTGACTTCATCGACTTAGTGAAGGACGTCAACGTGTGTGAAAGACAAATGATCTCATTAGATGTCGCCTCTCTATTTACAAGTATCCCCCTAACTGAAACAATACGCTTCATTTGTAATTACATCGAAATCAACAACATAGAAGTTCCTCTCCCCATAAACTCCTGAAGGAACTTCTTCTCAGATGTACGTTCAATATCCAGTTCAAATTCAATGAACAGTTCTATGTACAGAAAGATGGAGTAGCCATGGGGTCCCCTCTCGGTCCACTCCTAGCCAACTGTTTCATGGCGAATCTTGAAAACAACATCCTTGATCCCTTGATAAGTAAACTGCACTTACGTAGATGATACGTTTATAATGTGGTGAAAAATGTAATTTAGATTCTCTCCTCAAAACCTTCAACGCACGCAGCGCATCCATCAATAAGATTCATCTTAGAACGCGAATCGAACAACTCATTTCCATTCCTCGATGTACTACTCACCAGAAGACACAACTGTACGATCCAAAGATTGATATACTGTAAGCCAACATGGACTGGACAGTTTATCAACTTCCAGAGCTTTGTTCCACTGATCCGAAAGAGAAACTTGGCACGTACATTGTGCTCAAGGATTAGAAAAATCTGCTCGGAAGACACGGTAGAGAAAGAATTAAATTTATTGCGTGAAACCGTACTAGAGAATGGGTATCCACCAAGATTCATCGACAAAAACATAAAGGAGAAGCCTCTGGTGTCAAATATCACAACGGTTCCTAAGAAGGCTCTCTTCATGAACCTAGAATTCAAAGGTGATATCGCAGCGGAAATTCTCAGAAACCGTCTTTCAAAAAGTCTGAAGAAGACATTCCCAACAGCCACTCTACGCATAACATTCTCCTGCAGACAGTTTAATCCAGTCTAACGTTAAGGACAAGATACCGCTTTTGGCCACTTCAATGTGTATTTATCAGTTTACTTGCTCATGTGGAGCAAAGTATATCGACCGTACGCAACGTCAAGTCCACAAACGTATCTTGGAACACTGCCCAGCTTGGTTAGCCAGAGGAGAAAAGAAGAATAGCAACAGCTCAATCCTCGAACACCTTGTCATCTCCGGACATCGAGCACCCCCACAAGAATGCTTCACAGTGGTACACAGAATCCCTCAATATCGTACAAAAGGACTCCGTATACTACATCTGTATATAGCTGAGGCATTAGCTATTCGAGACCTAAAACCGGACCTGTGCATACAAAAACGATACATACATTCTCTGGCCCTACCATGGCCAGAGTAAATTTCCTACTATAATTTTCCTCCTCTCTTTTAATATGTAAGTTCACTATTATTATTATTGTTCTTAATACTTTTATTACTATTACTATTCCCACCATCCACATTTTATTACCACTCTATGACTGTTTATTAATAACATTGCTTTTTCACACACATCTTATACAAAACTACTGTATAACCTTTCCACTAGTTCCTGTCCATTCTACACTAGCTTATTGATTAGTCATTATCTCCAACTTGTAATATGTTATTTAGATATTCGGCACTAAATTTTGAATTGGAGAAATTTGTGCTATGTATTTATTTGGACGGATTCAGAGTTCTTGCTGATCTGTGACAAAATGTTGTTTCATAGTCATATCTAGGTCTTAGGCTTCAAAGTTAATCATACAAAATAGCATTCTTATGATTTTATGCCAATGTATGCGGCCAATTGCATCAAAAATACTTTATTTTTACGTTTGTCCAAGTGGTGCTCATTCGTGGTAGGATATTTAAGGGTATAGTTTATTATCACACATATTCCCCTATGCAAAAACATAAGGAACAAAACTGATGCGTCAACTGATTTAATTAACTATCTGTTCTTTGCCACTGTATATCCCTGATAAAGAATTAATAATTTAAGTTTTATAAAGGCTGTGAGTTGCTTAAAACGCCTCTTCATGTATTATTATTATATCCTTTAATTCCTAGAGGAACATAGGGCTTCGGCTGCGCGTCTCCATTGCCTTCTGTTTTCTGCCAACTAGCCGCTTCCCTTTCGGGTTCCACTCGAGCAATGGCTTGTCTAGTGATGTCACTTGATGGTTTCCTCAGCGTATGGCCAGTCCACCTCCATTTCTTCCTGCCTATTTGTCTCACAATCGGTTCCTGGTTGGTTCGCTCCCAGAGATCTTTGTTGCTGATCTTTTCTGGCCATCTGATCTTGAGTAGTGAGCGAAGACAACTGTTAATGAACCTCTTCATGTACTATGTAACAATGTTTATAAACTTTAATGTATTCCGGGTGTAGGTTAGAAGGCATATTTTAAGCTTAAAGCACGATAGCATTTATAGTAATGTAGATAAAGTATATTAAAATTTAACATTTCATATTATCTTTACATAGATGTTTTATTCATGACTTTGTTTTGCGCATAACACAGATGATTCAGTGAAATTTATAAGAAACACCAATATCAATTCTGTTTGTTTGTTGGCGAATTGTAAATATAGTTGTTTCATAAAAGTATTCTACTATTGTTGGTGTTATTAGTACAATGTGGGGACTGTCTACTATAAGTGTTTTCAATTATCAGTAAGTCAATGTCTAGCGCTATTAAGTTATTGATACTCATAGTCATTTCCGGATTCATTATATATAACTTTTCAATTTATTTCCTGTTTCGTTCAGGTTTAGCAGGTTGTTTGGCTATGCAGTTGCTTACAGTACTGACGCAAGTATCGGTGTTGGTCATGATCTAGTCGTTGGTCTGGGTAGCCAATCTTTATCCGATGAAATTATGTCTAAATCACAACAAATTAAGCACCATTCAAATCACCAATTGTGTACTAAACACCACCGAAATTCAATATCACAAATGTCTGACAGCACTAATAGTACATTATCTATTTTATCATCTCCAAGTCACCGTGATGGTGATAATAATGATAATAATAAAAATCCTAAGGAACCTTCCTCGCTTCGTACACAGCTGTCCATGGATTCTCCACCTTGCACGCCTACAAATGAAGTTACACAATGCTAGTACGTTTAGCAGTTGTTTTGATTTTGCTTCTTTTTTTACAAAGCGAAGAACAATATGTATTTTCATTTGTATCATGGACAAATAAATGTGCTTCAGAAGAACCTTTTGTCATAAGAAACAAATAAAGAAGGATCCCCATGACATTTATATTATCATAATACTAATATCATTTATTTTTAGACTCAAAATTGTAAAAAAGTTCTCCCCTTAGATTTTCGGACATATCACCTCTGTTACTCGTTATTCTATGCACTGTCCTTCACCTCACAATATCCCTTCTACATTTATTTTCTTTGTAGTTTTCCCAGTTGATTTTGTTTTCTTATGACATCAAGTTTTATAGTCTTCATTGTTTTTTATGTTAACTATACCTATTATGTGAACGTTTTTGTTATTTAGTTACACCCAGATATTTAAAAAAATTAGATTTCATTATTCCATGTCTTTCATTCTCATACTCATAAATTTTAATTATTTCAGTTTTATTTCACTTTTAGCTAGTAACTGACTTATATAAGAGTTTCATCCAGATATTATCGTATTAATATATACATTTATATATGATGTTAGCTGAAATTTGTCGCTACAGTCATAATTTAATGTTTACCTCCTTTCTTATTACTAGTTTGTCAGCTTATTATTTAAAGCAGCTTATTATTATTTATTTTTTTAACTTTAACATGAGCACTAATTAAGTAATTAATGTAATCGCTTTATTTATTTATTTCGTAGAAAGCATAAAATAAAAATCGTGATGTTTAGTTGACTACGTGTTGTTATTTACTTTGTGTTCCACTCGTCTCATGTGTGCCTATTCCTCTGCGTGTGTTTAAAGTGTTCTATATTTTCCTCCGCATAATTGTTTAAGAAAGTTAAACACTATTCGACTTATGATTAATGTTAGCCCAGACAAAAAAGAAAAGTATTCGCTAACTTTTTTAATATTTTCTGTCTCATATAATATAATGTAATGTCGTCTATCGACAAGTATAATTCAAAGTCTAAGCCTTACCTTGTTACCCGTGCTGTTTCATTCGTGTCCTCTGCAGTTTATTTAACGTTAGTTTTAGGAGTATTAATATTTAGGATGTCGGAAGTATCTCTTTCTCTCACTGACTGTATTAATGCATTAGTAGTGGAATGGCGTGTCTGATTCACTCATTGCGTAAAACACAAATAGTGGAAAGTACCGTCTCTTGTATATATATATATATCTTCAAAGGTAACTGTATTTGTCTCACTAACGTTTTCTAAGTGACTTGCAACTGTCAGTTTAAGTTTACGTTGATCAGCCATTTGTAAAATGCAGTCACACTCTGCATCAGTAGTGTGATTATTTATTTAGTACAAAGCCCACTATATATTTGCAAATTTTATCTGTTAACACTTTCTGGTAACTGCCCAATGAGGTGAAAGAGATGACTGCCTTTAGATTTCTCCTATCCATGATTATTGGTGTTTGTAGTTGGTTGGATATCTTTCTCACTTCTGTATTTCCTGTGCTCGCCTGAAATTTTGATCTTCGCTGCCCCTTCTATCAACTTGTTGTTTTGCACTCTTATACCATCGAGTGTGCGAGACGTGAGACATAACTCATTTGCAAAATCCAGATCTTCTAAGGTCCTTTTATGGTTCAAATGTATGCCCATCTCAATTCACACGGTTCACTACATGTTCCGGTGCACCGCTAGTAGGAAGATCATAGATGATAGGCAGTCTTATCTCAATCCTGTCTTTTATTTGCGAGTTACTTTGCATGTAGCATCATCATATAGCTATTGAATGAGGTTTACAAATGTTTGTAGTACTTCACTCGGAAGTGTTGAAAAAATGTCGAGTTTCTTCACAGTCAATTAGGTTGAATGTCTTTTCAAAGTTATATATATTTCATATAGGGTGATTCTTAGAGTATTATGTTTTATATACTTTATATGATTCTTGTGGTGTAGTTAACCTAGGGATTGAATAAACTCTGTTATGGTATGCATATTTTATGCCATCCGATATTACAGTGCAACGGTTAAATGCATTACTATATATACTACTGACTGATTGATGTGAGTAGTTGGATACCATCGGCATCAACTGGTAGTGATTGCTAGTCAGACTGAGGTGATCTAAAGACCAAACGAAGACTTATCAGTTTCACTTCGATCTGGTTTATTTGAATGGCATCCAACTATTCATACTAATGAGTAGTATGTAGCGTGGAGCATTTATGTTTACTTTCTTGATTGATATTTATCGTATCAAGCAGTCTACTTGCTGTGATCTGAATAATGCCGGTTTCCAAATGAAACTGTAGTGAAATTTCACATCGAATGGTGTAAATTGCGAATTGCTATTTGGTGCATTGCTCATTCAACATCTTCACAACAGTATTAAGCAGGAGTACTCACAATGCTTATAAAACATTTTCAAGCTTGAAAATTTATATGTATTTAATTGTTATTTAGTAAAGCAAGAACATATCATTCACTTTAGTATCCAAAATTTATTTATTTATTATATTTTGTTGTGATTTTCAAATTTTATAATGCCTATACATTATTTCCGCTTACATAATTATTATTAGGCAAGGATGTTTACATTCGAAGTTTATTTTTGTCTGCATCCGATAGGCACTTAATGCTTGACTGTGTCTGTGTGTCATTGATTAAAATCACCTTTCTCTTCCTCCTTGTATTTCTCTAGCTTTTTTTATTTCATTATAAAAAATGAACAGTTTGATTCCCATTAGTAACTCGGCTTTTTAAGATTTAAAATCTTGCCCAACTTTTCATTAAAGAAGTATGAAACTCTTTCTCGTGATCTCTTCTCTCAGCCATTAGTTCACTCAATAATTCACCTTAAAGCAAATACCGATAGAAATCAATAAATACATATACTGGTATTTGCATTCTTGTGACTTTGTTTATTTCTTATGCTTCACAGTGTTCATCATTTGTACTATCATATTCTTCTGAATATAGACAATATATTAGAAATAATAAACTTAATAATGGAATTATAAAATTAAAAATATTTAAAATAAGTAAGATATAAACTACAGCGGATTCATTGTTTTCGCATACGGCATCACATTTACTAATCCATAATATAGGGCAAAGTGTATACGTATTTGCATTAATAGTAGTGTTTAGGTTACTGACATCATTTTTAGTAGCAATTTTTGTGGTAATAGTATCAGCAGTAGCAATAATAGTACTATTATTAATATTATTATTCGCTGTTGTTGTAGTTGTTACAGATAATGATTGTGATTGTAGAGTGTTCATGCATTCAGCTCTCTTACTCTTCACACTTGGTATGACATATTGTACATGGTATACTTGTTTAAATGATACTGCTAAATTGTAAATAACAATCACATAAGTCATAACTAAGGTGGCAAACATAATTGCGCCTAATGTATGCCTGTTATTAATTCTAGTAAATAAGAAATAAAACTCTACAATCAATGAAATTAAAAATAAACAATAGATTATATGATGAGCGAGTAAAGGGTTCTTTATCGACTGGTATAATAAAATAAAAATAGATACAAATTGGGTAAGGGAATAAATAGTTAGCACAGAACAGATTATGATTAGTGGTAACAACTTTTTATCACTGCATAATGGCACTACTTTTTTAAAATGATAACAATCAAATTTAGTCGACTTTTTATTTTCATATACCGGAAATTGTGTGCTGTTGTCTGTCAATTCGACATTGTGGTCCACTTCTTCTGATTGTATTGAAAATTTTTTAATATTTAAAGCGGTTTGGGAAATGGTTGATTCCTTGGATGGTGGATACACATCTGGTTGATTAAAAATGGCTGATAGTTGAGATGTCGATGGATTAGGAGAAGGCTGAATACACTTTTGAATTGGATCCTGATTATCTGCGGCTTGTATTGCATTACTCAATCTAATTTCAAGTTTGACAAAGATGAAATATCATTGAAATAATCTAAATTGCTTTTTTTAAAAATTAATCAAGATAACGCATGTCTTTGTTCTTTGTTAGGTGTAGAGTAAGTATTAATTAAGTATGGTAAGTCGATCGATGAGGTTGTAAACCCTAATCGAATGCATTGACTAGGGTGGTCTTTACGAAATCCGAGTCATTTTCTTTCTCGACGAATTAATTAATTTAAGGTGAAACTGTAATGGATATCACAACTGATCACATGCACTACTGAGACTTTGGTTCTGAGAGTTCTTAAGTTTAGAGGGGCTAATCAAGTTTGCACAGCAAAAAAGTGAAATCGATATATAACAATTGAGAAACATTTAATGGGAGGTGGCTGGTTTTTTCCAGTCCCAAAGTGAGTAATGGATTTGACAAGAAACCACAGGTAGGATGTTTAGATCTCAATGGTTATTCAGACATACTATTCACAAGACTTCCTGGATGAAATGCCTACCTGAGTCACATTTACAACAACCATTGGCTTGAAATTTTTCTCTAGTTAAACATCTTTTACTGTTCAATTAAGTTTAATTTGTTATAAGCTGAAATCAGATTTATATTGATCGTTAATGAAGCTTAGAGGTTGTGTAGTCCGTTTGATTTATTGTTGTTGGTATGTAGTCAGCTAAAAATCATACGTGAAACAGGTAAATGTAAGACATTCTGTCTTTGGTCTTTGTATCAGGGATTGTATAAATACAAAAGACAGGACAACATTAAACATTCTCTGAAGATTTCCTTAAACATTATTTCCCGATTTCTCTGAGGTCCATGTTATTAATGAATTCAGTTTAAAAAATTTCCACTCTAGTTCCTCCTGAAAAGTTATCCCATTATATCATTCACATTTTACCACAATTAGTATTTTAAGGTAGAGACTATCGTTTCTTATTTATCTTTTAAATCTAATAACAACAATTTAGAGTGCATCGCGAAGGCTAACCACCTTTCGTGGTGGCCACATCGCAAATTTGGCTGATAGAATCAAGTCCGCACCAAACAAAGCACTAGACACAATACACTAGTTAATAACTAGTGTCCGATGACAAAAATATTCCATATAAGATATTTTTATTGCTCAATTCTGAAATTCACATGCCATAAGGTAATAAAATAAACTTTGTTATTAGAATTAGAAGGAGCATAAATAAGTCTTATGAGTTTGAGTTAGGAAATGTACAGATACTGGAAATATTGTTAAACTTAATTTCTAAACTTTTTCATTCAAGTGTCCTTCAACAAACATGATAGTGTTTAGCAAAACGAAACTTTAGACCCTTCAGAAGAGCAAATGAATTATCAGAGGTCGTGTAGCTCAGTTATTCCCCAGGTGATAGTTTTTCCTTAGTTATGTTTGTAGTGGAAAAAATGCTGTAATCTTTAAATGTTTACATCTATTCATGATAAGTAATCACTCTACAACTAACAAATTTGTACCTAATGTTTTTCTGTTATGCTTTTGCACTACTTACAAGTAACAAGGTTTTAGGTGATGCAAACGATGGTTAAGTTTGTGAAATTTATACGCGGGTTAGCGAAATATTATTGATATTTTTGATTTATCATATCGTCGACTGAGCAATATATCTAGGAAAGATAAACAATTATCTTTCTCCTCTTCAGACGTAAGTGATTTGCTATTCTGAACTTCGTTCATTCTATTTATAATTGTGGTGGAAGAACAAGGCTTATCACTTATGATTGCAATGTCGTCGACATATATTCTATAAAGTGGTACGTTTTCGAATAAATCCGGCGATAAACTCTCAATGTACGACATAAATATATCTGCTAAAATGGGTCTTAACGGGCGGAAGCAATCACCTTCAAAATATGAACCTAACACTGCTAGTTCATCGAAATAATAAATCCTTTAAATAAGATATGGGGAAATTACTTATGGAAATGTAGTCATTTTAAATATAAATGTAGATCAGTGAATAAGGAGTTCACATCAAAAGAATGCATATTTTTATTATTTATAATATTAATACCATCAAATTAATCAATCATGTTAAATGAATTTTTAGTACATACACTAACAGAATTGTCTTTTGACTGAGTCTAATGATTCCACTAACCATTGAGCAAGCTTATGTGTTGGTGATAGGGTGTAGAGAATTACCGGGCTTATTTATTTTGGGTAAACCATACATATGTAGGAATTTATATTCAGGTAGTTTTCAAGAATCCAATGTATCTTTCCTTATAACACTTACTGCCTGTTTACTGTCTCTAATATGCATTTCTTCTACTTTCTTCTCTTGCTTTGTGTGCTACATGGAGTGTGGCCACTTGAACTGCCGCACACATATGCAAAGTTCTATGGCGAAAACAAGCAGATAGAAATATCACTTACGCAAAGAAGTTTCACTGAATTAGTTCTAGTGAGGTGCATCTGAAGTAGACTCCAACCACTCAAATATTAAATAAATTATTGGATGAAAAGAAATTTTCCAAAGAGCAAATGACCAGATTTCAGCGAAAGATTCTACCTGTCTGTTTTCGACATAGAACTTTGCACATATGTGCGGCAATTCGAATCGCCACACTCCATATATCACACATAGCAAAAGAAGAAAGTAGAAGAAATGTATAATAGAGACAGTAAACAGAGGTATGAGACAAAGGAATAGTAGTAACGAAGATCAATGTAGTCTCATTGGAAATCGTAAGTCACAAGGAGTGGATGCATTTGCTCCATCACTGAGAACGATTTTGAGCCATATCACCAATTGTTTCCAACCATTGATTTTTACTGTCCCGAGGACCCCAACCAGGAAGTCTACACCTTCCTACATGGCTTAAACTAACTGTTGTAGATTTCATTGACTGGTGCCATGTTTTTGTTTGACCTCCGCTAGCTCTTTTCCAGATTCTGTTCCACCTCTCAATCAACAAGTCGCAAAACTTACCAAGAACCCTATTTAAATTTTTTCCAAATTATTTGCAAATGTCTTAACCAGCATCTAAATCAAATCGAAAGTCGCGTGTAAATTTTCTCAGGAACCCTTCAAAAAATCACATGTAAAGATGTTTCCAATATTCTTACACTGGAATCCTGCACTTTCTCAATGCTTTCAAATCCTAATGATCGTTGTTAACATTATGACTACATAATTGCCTTGGAAACGATGAAAATTCATAAATAGATTTATTATACCTGAGTTAGCCTAATTTCTCTCCTATGTTTGCTGTTTTCGGACAGAGTTTAAGAAATCAGTCTGTGTGTTACCTTCAATGTTATTTCTTTTGTAAATATTGCTGTCAACGAGCAAACATACCGTTGTACCATGTTATTAAGTAACACATTACTGGTGTTCATCGAACATTAACCAACTTTAGTTTCTAGCCCTATGTTGTGAAAGAAATCAGGTGAGCAAAAGTGCATCACGGTGTATATCACCATGGAGTTACCATATATACTGCGAGAATTTTGGGAAAGATCTTTTCAATAACCGAAACTGAACAGATGAACCAACTAATCTGCATGCGGGAAAAAAAAACTATAAGGGATTGAGCGTGACATAGACGGTTTTACAGTGAATTTTCCAACTCTGACCGTGAGTAGTGTAATTTCCAACTTCACTAGCAACATGAGATTTCTTGAATCTAATGATAAGATTCAATAAGTATAAAATCAAATCTTCATCTTGTTGTTGACTGACTAAATGTTAAATACATTAAGAACATTTCGCTCCCCACTTAGTGCGTACATTTAACTTGCTTCAAATTTGATGTAGGTATTTGTTTTTTCCTTGATTATTAGTTTCAAAAAAATGAGATTATATTACAATATTTTCTAAGCTGATTGATTATTTATCAATTAGCTTATTTCTTTCATTTGCATATAAGTCATAGAAATCTAATGAAAACAAGCGAATTCAAATGAATTAGGATAATGTGTGCTCAATTTTTATTATTATTGTTTCACTGCTTTTTGTCAACTGGTTGGATGCAACCTGAGCAATACAGAAATACAAATTACAAAAACGATTTGAATAGACTTTTTTCGTGATGATAAGAGGTAATTGATTGAAACTATAAGTAGCATAAGAATTCTGCTTAGGAGGCTGTGGCTTACACAGCAAAGCCTTCTGAAAAATCTTGTTTTGATTCTTAACATCAGGGATTATTTTAAATAATTTATGATAATAAGTAACATAGCTTGAAAAAAAAGCGTCCGAAATTTCGGAGAGAAGTTCAACTCGAGAGGGTATATGTACAGAATAGGTTACGTATTGCAGCATATAATTTATTTATAAGATGGCAAAATTGTGGTTAGCTGAGTCATGTTCAGACAAAACAGTAAAGTTTTCCTGATACAAACAGAGGATATAGGAGAAGACATAATACAACCAACTTGCGTTGGCTGATGCAACTCCCCAAATAAGTGAAGTGATCAACATGCTCTGCCGATTCACCCCCTATCTTTAAGCTAGGAGTCGATGTTTTCCAGTCTTCTGGCATCATCTTACATCTGACAGGAGCCAGTCGTATGTCAGACATTCAGAAGACTCTGCACTGGAAACTATTGCAACACTACGGCGTGCAGTGACCAAGTATGTATCAACCTCATTCAACAGCTGGCTGCATGAAAATGCCTGCCACATGTCAAGTGATCCACAACGGGAAACTCAGTAAGGCGTTCGAAGTGAACACAGGAGTAAGACAATCTGACTGCCTATTACCACCGATGATATTCTTAATTGTGGTGGACTAGATTATACGTCAGACTGTGGGTAGCGAGGAGACAGGAATAGGCTGGACGACCGATTAGAAAACTCTAGATGATCTGGATTTTGCGGAGGATTTATGTTTAATGTCACACAAACTCGAAGACTTGCAGGCGAAAATCAATAAACTGACAGAAGAAGCAACCGGCGAATACGGGACTGCAGATGAACATAGAGAAGATAGAAGTGATGAAGATAACCAACGAACAGCCTCAACAA